GGGCCGGCCCCTTCCCTCACAGATTCTGAGCTTGGGTCCACCACTTCTTCCCCTGTAAGTAATAGTGGCTGCTGGCAGCTGCACAGACTTGTGCGTGTTCTTCACACTGGATGGAATTTCTCTGCTGTCTTCAGAGGCTGTCAGCCAGCATCTTCCTATGTCTTAATGACCAGGAAGATGGGCCATGATTTTTACGTATGTCTTAGTTTTTCTCTTGTTGCTGGGACAAATACCCAGCACTCAAAATGAGGGAAGGAAAGGTTTATTTAGCTCAGTTACTGGAGGTTTCAAGACTGGAGGAGAGGCTGGGACGTTGCCCTGTCCAGGATGACTCGCTCCACATCTCTGAGGGAGTCTGCTCCATACCTCCAAGAGGGGCCACCATCCTTGGTGGGGACATGCTGTCAGTTTCATGGTCAACTCTGGCCCCACCCCTCAGGCCCCACCCTGGTCCTCTGGCTCTGCCCCTCAAGCCACCTGTTGCTCCTCCAATCTTGTCTGCCCCATAACTTATGTGAGGCTTTCAGGGGACAACCAGACACCTGATTGATGTACTAGGAATCAGACTGGGACTTGTGCTCACCAGGCAGGTGCTGTGCCATTGAGCCACATCCCAGCCCAAAGATGGGCCATGCTTGAAGTTAAATCATTGCAGGCTGGGTGCAGTGGGGCACACCTATAATCCTGATGCTCAGGAGGCTGAGGCAGGGGAATTCAAGGCCAGCCTGGGCTACGTGGTGAGACTCAAAAGAAAGACAAATCACAAGCTGCTGACTATGGTACCCCTTAATCCATAGGAAATACAGTGACTATTAGTTTATTTGCTGAGTAGAAAAGCAAGTCACCCTTCCACTGGTATCTGGTGGCACCATATGGCAGAAGCTTGTGACGGTGGGGCTGGGAAGGTGGGCAGAAGGCCAAGGTGAAAGCTGCTTCCCGGAGATGTGGCGGGCTCTGAGCTCCAAGTGCTCGGATTACCTGGCCTGGGGTTTGCTAGGGCAGTTTCCCCAATCAGTGTTGCGAGGTGGCATGGCTGCCTAGCTTTTTTAGGCAATTTGAGGATTTTCTCCCCCATTTCATATGATTTTAGTCCACCTCCATGGAACATAGTACTTTTTTTTTTTATTCTAGGACAGGGTCTACAGGGTCTCACTGTGTAGATTGGACCTTCTGTTAACAGCCTCCCAAGTGCTGGGATTACATGCCACCAGGGCTGGTACCTG